ATGGTTTCAACTCGCCAGCATCGCATAACCAATACAGTCAGCGTATGGGTGCGGGCAGTCCACAACCAGGAGCGAGTCCGAACATAGCCAGCCCACAAGTGCCAAGTCCGCAAGGACAAACGTTGGACCTGAGCGTCACACGTCTGTCACACAGGTAATTTTGAGAAACAGAAAATTTCTGGAGATATGAATATCAAATGCAACTTTTAGCTGTCAATAGACAAAATTTGGTTGGGGGAACACACATATTTCGAATTTGATTTTTAGTGTGGTAGACGGTTGAACTAGGGTCGCAGGGAAAAGGAGTATGCTGATTCGACTCTTATTTCTCCGTAACAAAGTTCAGGATGCCAGAGTGACCTTTCCATGGGTCCAATCAATGCAACCTCATATGTTTTTAGGTTAGTGCCTCTGCGGCACCACACTGGCTGGATATCGCTGTAATTATTTAAGTTTGCGCTTTAGGAAGTCTAGAGTTTACTTACTTTGTATACTCAAGTTTATTAGATCCTTTTTAGTCCCAAAAACATTCCAACACATTCCGCACTTTAAGCCACATTCCTCAAAACATTTCTCTTTAAAATCTGACTTACTAACTAACCACCTTTTTCTTTTTCTTCTTATTTCAGTATTATCACAAGTCCTCAATATGGTGCACACCCCGACGGTCTAGTCGTTGGACATCCGCAAGGCTTTGGACCAGGTCTACCACCCACAGGTGCCAACGGTGCGCCACGTTCACCACAAATGGAGCCCGTTGATTTCAGCGGTCCACCAAGACCACTCGGTTTTGGGCTCGTCGGACATATCGGCGGACCGCGACCGTACAGTCGTGAGTCTACGCCGGACAGTGGTGGCTCACACTACATCGATAGCTATCGCGATCCAAGTGGTAAGTGGCTGGAAGATTTTTTTATTAGGTTTTTTATGAAGCGTAAATTTTTCTGCTCAAATCGATCGATTAAAAAACTGTAAAGTTATTGTTTCTCCTTTAACATATTTCTTTGACTTCTCTTCTCACCATCTTCCCCACAACAACTAGGCTATTCACCTCATCCCGGCTATGGCATGGTTGTACAGTCTGATTATCCCCCAGCCGGCTATCATGGCTACGGTCCAGCCGCATATCAATGCAGCAATCCTTATGCGACTGCTGTCGGTCCCGGCGGATATCCGACACCAGTGTCAGGCGGCTACTCACCCAGTCCGGCGTCGTGTTACTCCATGCCACCGCCACAGCATATACCGCAACATGACAAGACAAAGGATAGGTTAGTCGAATGGCAAGTCAAATCACTTTACTACTAACAGCTACTTTATTACTACTAGCTATGTTTGCTTAGCAGCTACTTACTACCTTACTTGCTACCGCTACTAACACTTTTATAGACACACGTGTACATTCATATATACATACATACATACATAAGTATGTATGTCCTTTTTTAGTTTTGCATGCAAGATTTCTATGCACTGAAAATAGTTCAACCCCTTTGAGCATTGCGCTTGTCGGACCACTAGCATCATCAGTGGCATAGGGGCACAGGAGGCACACCGATCACCGGAAAGGACACTAGTTTCGTTATAACGATAATGAAAAGAGCACAGGCAAGTGTCCTTGCCAACGATGTAGTATGCACATGCAGCAGGCAGATGAGAGGTCCTTGTAGTGCTGCCGTACATATGGTCGGTGGTACACGAAATATTATGGAGAAAATATTAAAATATGCAATAATGACACTTATCAGACGAGTTTTGCATTGACAAAGGACCATTGTGTGTTGTGACATTGTCGAACGTCGGCAACGATAATGAAAACGAGTGTTGATGGCAGCTGATGGGTACGAAGGAGCACCAGAAAATTGTATCCTTTTTGCTTGACTTTAATATTTATAAAGATGTGTGGCCCCCAAATGGCAGAGTGGCAATAAATTGAAATTACTAACAAACGAGCGGGCACATGCCGGACAGGTGGTGTGCAATGGACGAGAAGTGGAGGGTGTGTGCGATGAAAGGAAAGGCCGGCAGTTGAAGGGAGTGCCTGTGCCGAGATTGTGCTCTAACTAATAATGTAGCGCTTTGGCTACGAAATACCAACTTTAAAGCGCTTGGATTGCTTGAATCTTCAATGTGTATTTTAAGTGACTGCTTTGATTTGAATGAAGTAAGAGATTATATGGAAAGCTTCTGGGCAGCTCGAGAGAAACACCCGCATTGTTCTGCTGAGATCCAATTTGATAGTTGGCTTTTCGAACGCTTCAATACATCTGACAGTTAGCTGCTTTTGTCTTTATTCGAGCTGCAAGCGGGCAAGTGGCACGGCAGTTGGTTGGCTTAAACTTTTAAGTGCGCACTCAAGTGTACGCTGACCAATTGATAGTTGCTGGATAAACGAGTTTACCAGCTTAGCTTTCAGAGTGCGCGCACACACACTCGCACATACTACAATATATTTTTACTTGCTTTTCATCGTATTTTGCCTGCTCCTGCTTCTGCTGCTGCTGTTGGCAGCGATAAGTTTGCAATTTGCTAGATAAATTTATCAAATCCAAAGCGAACTTTCAATAGACAACTTTTGCAGCGAATTTATTTGCCAACGCCGATTGATTTTAGCCATCAACTATCATTGCAGTGGGTTAAGTGCCTGCTCGAGTAGGTTTGCGGGGTTGGCTTGTTTGCTTTAAAGTTTGCATTGCTTGGCTGCTTTTCCTCTTCCTTTTATTTTATTTGGCTAAGTTGAGTGGCTTTTTTTTAATTTTTTTTCTGTGTTTCTAATCTCTTTTCAATAGCCTGACTGGATGTACGCGCAGCGATCGAAATCATTTGCAGCCACACTCGCAGGAACTGAAATGCCCCACGCCAGGCTGTGATGGTTCAGGACATGTCACTGGTAACTACTCGTCACATCGCAGTCTATCGGGTTGTCCGCGCGCCAACAAGCCGAAGAGCAAGCCACGCGATGGACAGGACTCGGAGCCGCTTAGGTGAGAGTTATTTACTGAATGTTTATTTTTCTTAAGTGTGGGGTTTCGAAACAAAGCTTTGTACTGAGAGTGGACATTAGTACCCATTGTCTTGACGTCTGTCCAAATGATTTCAATTCACATTTAAGTCTTTCCTTGAACTCGAGAAATGAAGAAGTCGAAGTAGGCAGATATTTTTGTTACAAATTTGTATCATTCAACGTCTTCGAGACCTTATAAAAAGCAAAGTAATAGTCTACCCTTTGTAGGATTTAGGTCAACCGTATGGTAAATTCTATTTACAGAAGGCTATATTAGGTTAAAATTTCAAAAATTTAATTTCAAAAACTTGCAATTTCATGAATAAGTCGACTTTGAAAATAATTTTTATCTTCTGGGACGTTTTTCTCGTAGAACACATTAACCCGCTAGCTCTTAGCAGAACGAGTTTTTTGACCTTCTTTTTAAGAGATTGGCTGCTAGAGGGTTAAAATGTTCTACAAATAGTTATGCAAAAAATGCCACTCGCGACAAAAGAGTAAAAGAACTTTTTACAGGTTGATGGGGAAGAGTAAATACAAAAAAAATTATGTAGAATAAAGAATTTGTAACCCAAAAAAAAATAAAATGTTAATTCTTTGTAAGAAAAAGTTCTAATCAGGTGTAACAAAATATTCTTGAATTAAATCGACTATATATTTTTTATGAATAGTATGTGCAAGTAGTTTGGTTGATGCCTTAAAAGACCTGCACCACTGAGTTGGAGTAAAAAAAACTTGAAAAAATTGCGGCGCAAACCGAATAGATCCTCAATATTTCGAATAATAAAAACCGGCTAAATTTTCTTGAAATTTTTTAGGAGAAAAAAACTCAAATAAAATTCGAAACTATCCCCCGAGACTTGAAAATTTTCCGAAAAAAACGAAATTTGGCCACCACCTTGAAGCAAACTAACTATAGAGCGCCAGAAAAGCTGAAGTTACACTGGCGAAATCTCGTTCGATAATCTGTTCCAACTTCACATCGGCAACAACAACATCGAAAGCTCATATCCGCTTAGAATCCCATAGGTCAAAGTAAACCCTAAGTAGTCTATAATGGAGTTCTAAGTGCAGAGCGTCAAGCAGAGGCTTCTTTCATAAATCTTATAAGAGTGGTGTACTCTCCGATTGAAAACTCTGTGGGTATCTATAAGTCCAAGGTAGGAAAATCCCAGCGAGACTCATGGAGAAAATTCTACGCATACGTCAAAGGCTGCCATGAATCTTTACGCGTCTTCAGATACTTCACGTTCGCTGTAGCCGAGTGGTTAAAAATGCATACTACCACCTGGGTTTCATCCCCGGTCCAAGCAACATTCAAAAATTTACAAACAATTTTTTCTAACAGCGCTCGCCTCTTGGCAGGCAATCGCAAACCTCCGACTGTATTTCTGTATTGAACAAAAAGCTGCTCGTAAAACCAGGGACCGAAAATAACAGTTATTTTTTAACAGTTTTACTCGGCCAAATATTTTTTAAGGCCGAAATAAAAGTCTTTTCCTAATAATAAACAAACCGCTTATCCAAATTAAACAAGTTTGGTATTAAATAAGAGGGGACTAGAATAGCTTTAAAACTGAAATTTCTAAACGAGAAAAACCACCTAATTATCATAGAACAAATCTTACGACAGGTATATGAACTTCTTTTGTATTGAATTATAAAAAAAATTAAATAGAGGTGGTAACCTTTGTTCGTTATCTGTTTAAAGCTATTTCAAATATATTTCCTTTGATATCAAATTTTTTTTTGATAAGCGGTTTGTTTATTATCTGGAAAGGACTTTTATTTCGCATTTCCCAAAAAATCCTGAACCGTGTAAATAGTATAAGGCCATTGGGCTGCTTTGTTTTCTTCTGCAGAGCTACTGGAAAACTGCTGCCTACTTTGGCTAATAAATTTTGTTGAGGCTTTAAGCTATCTACGTAAGCTGGTCTCACGTGCCTTCAAAGGATTTCAGACCTATCTCATCCCTGCTATTTAAGACCATCGGGCCCCTGATTTACTTTTCTATATTTATGATACAAAATTCCTTGAAAGTGGGTGAGTCTCTCTCTGTACGCATACCTGAAGCGTAACTCAGTGGAATCTGACTTGCATAGAGGAGAAAGGTTCGCGTGTTTGGGCATTGTACTGAACAGCAAGCCCTCCTGGAAACCAAATTCTTGAGTATCGAGTAAAAATCCATCAGTTGCTCTATACTAATTTAATAAAGCTATTAAGAAGAGGTTGTCCTCCCTCCAAACCATTTCAAAGCCAATTATCTTGTATGTAGTGTCTGTCTACTGTAATATACTAGAAAATTTAATTTTAATACAGATGCAAAGTCCTACTCTTGTTAGAATCAGAGAGGTGATCTGCACGTCTCCTACTCTCAACTGTGCAGGTACGTATTCCGAAGTCCACACTGCCCCAACAGGCTAAGAAACACTGAGTTATTCTTCAACCCGCCGTGAGAGTTCACATGAAGAAATTAATCGGTGTGTGCCAAGAGTGGATCTAATTGGATCCTTCTCTACATGTATCCCTCTAAAGGGTGAATGGGATGGGTCGAAGTTGGATGGTAGAATTAGAGCAAGTTTTTTGTCCCTCTACGGCTTCCAGATATCTGCCAAGCGGCAATCGGAGCTCTTGAGTCGCTTATGTTGCAATCGACTCTTGTCGGGGACTGCTTGCTTGATCTCGCAGTCGTCTCGGATTACTTCCAAATGGGGCTTATTTCGTTTCTAGTATAGAGCAACAGTACATGCACTGCTTGGCTGATAAATTGTCTAGGCAGGTCATCAAGGATAGAGTCAATCGGAGTTCCTGCGGCAACCTGCGGACTACGTACTCCTGGCAGGGTTTACAGTCGGCTCAGTGAGCGCTGGGCAAAAGACCCGACATTCAAATTTTCAAAGTCCTTCAGGCCGATAAAGCGCAGCCTAAAAAACATTTTCAGCTGGCTTACCGACAACTTTTGGTGCTAACAGAAATCTTGGGTGGGCATCGCTGAATAGGAACCCTTTCTTGTAGCTTTTTGGAAGATGACGAGGTAGATTCGTGTCAGCGTCACATTTCATCAACACTCCCGAGTAACGCTATGGGATGGATTTTTTAAAGAATAAAAATTTCTTATTTATAAATAAAGCTTAGAGGAATGCTAATACATTTTTAAACAAGAAGAATTAGTTAGTAAAAAAATAATCCTAACAAATTTCATAGCCTCGAATTCCATTACCATTTCAGATGTCCCATACCTGGTTGTGACGGTTCTGGCCACTCCACTGGCAAATTTTTATCGCACAGAAGGTAAGCATTACTTCCTTTTCGCAATTCAGTACTAATTTTTACAAAATTCATATGCCTTTAACCAGCTACTTACATACATATGTATGTATGTATGTATGTATGCAATTATAGATTTTGTTACGCACCACCCGCAACTCACACTCCTTTCTTCTCTCTATCTCTCTCTATCTCTCTCTCTCTGCAGCGCCTCCGGCTGTCCCATCGCGAATCGTAATAAAATGCGCGTACTTGAAGCCGGCGGCACCGTAGAACAGCATAAAGCCGCCGTTGCTGCGGCGACTGCGATGAAGTTTGACGGTGCGTATGCTCAACATTTTGGTAATGTCTTACAAATCAACTCGGCAGCAGCGGCACAACATACTAACCCNTTTCGAAAATCTCCAAAACGTTACAAAGTAACCCAAATTCTCCCCAACATTTCACAAAAATTTCAAGAAATTCCGAAATAATCCAAAAATGTCCCCCAAAAAAAATCGCCTAAAGTCTCGAAATAGACTCGACAAATCTCGAATCACTTCATGCCTAAAAACCAAAAACCAACAATTATCGAGTGTTCGTGCTCAAAATCTATTTTGCATCGAGGTTTTTGGAATACAGGAAATCCATACTTGAAAATTTAAAAACTGGACAACTGGACTATAGAAATTTAAAGCAGAGGCTGCCTTATTTCAGATCAAATCTGGTATACGATTGCTTCAACACCTTAGACGATCATTGAATCAAGCAAATAGTAAGTAGTACTGGGCTGGATACCAAGGGTATGACTGATATGATAACGTTGGCACCCTAAAAACACGAACTGGCTATATATAAAAAAAATCACTAAACACTGGATTGGGCGTCTAGGGCAGAGACAAACAAAACGATGTATCTGTCCATCTCTAGAGGCTCCAAAAAACTTCTTAATTTAGATAGAAAGAATCTCCGAACTCTCACTGAGTATTTCACGAGACTCAGCGCCCTTCTGTCGCTTTTGTAACCTGAACCAGAAAAAGCGCATGTAAGTGCTAGGCTTATATAAAATTTATTTGGTGAAAGCTGTGAAACTGCAAGAAATAGAACAGAAACTTAAATAAAAACTGTAAAAATAAAGAATTTTAGCTGGTCTATAGTGTACATACGATTTTTCATTCTTGGTCCATTGTGACTCTTTTTGGTCGGAATTAACAAAAAAAAAACGCGAGCAGAATACAGCACACGTTCTACGTGCTGTGCATTGAACTATTTCGTGGGTATTCGGACCAGATTGTTGGGTTCTTCAACCCATCCCAGTTTAAGCCTCATACCTAATCGATGCAAAGCCAGAGCAAAAGCACAAAAAGTGGTCAGCACTCTCGGGTTGTTATATATATGTATGTATATTCCGATCACAGTCAGGTGTTTCTGCGACAAGAACTGACCGGTAATCAGTCCCACAAGTTGTTTACAATTAGACAGACCATTCGGGAATGAGTACAACATGGCCGTAGGGGGGAGTACCCAAACCAGGAGAAGGCTAAGGAATACTCATTTTCATGCAAATTGCTCAGGAGCTCCCGTTTGGGATGGCACCCAAAGTAGAAGAGATTCATTTTATTTTCCAAGATAACTTAGTAGAGATTTGCATTTCCAATCTAGTTCGGAAGGGAGCAGTTAGAGGACTGATCAATACCTTGAGTGCAGTTTTAATGTTACTAGAAAAGGCATCTGCACGCCTATTTTTTCTACTACGTAGTCCATGGGCAAGAGCGTCGTGAATATTTTCCTCTTTACCTTTGATATACTCCCATATCCTGGGAGAGTGTCAGTTTTGGATATGTAAATCCGTGATCAGTATTGAGATTTCAGCCTCAGGGAACTTGACATTGACGGATAAAGACACTCAGTGACGGTTGGAGTGCATCCAAGTCAGTTACGGATGTTGTAGGGAAAGCTCCTTTGAAGTTTGGTAAGCGGATTTCCCCCGCAACTGATTGGGAGTCTGCTCAACCACAACACAGATTTAAAAATTCACAGGATTCCTCTATGTGATAGACTATACCTTTTGCCAAAGACCTTGCTCAATTGCTGGTATTAAGGCTTTGGAGGACTTTTATTCAATGTGAGGCTTCCATAAAATTCAAGTTATAGTGACTTGACGGTTCGTTCAACCTTCTCCGTCTATTGAAGATCGCAAGCTAAGTTAGAGTCTAGAGCCGTGTTAAAGTTAACAAGCAGGGCATCAATTACAAGGCACCAGGGCAAAGGCGGAAGCGCGTCAACCTGTTAAACTGCGCACGTGGCATATTGTATTATATCTTCTTCTTCCTAATAGCCCTAGTATCCACGAGTATTTGGACTCCCTTTTAGTAAAAATGTTTCCTCTACTAAATTGATGTTTTCTAGGAAAGACCAAGTGGAGCATAACTCGGCTGCCTACGGTATTCAGACCTGCCGCCTTTTTTAAACTCAGTCAAAATCGCTTAAGGCACTTAAGGGTTAATTTGGAATTAGTAATATGTTGTCTGGGGACAACCTTCCTTAAACCTTAATACACTTTTTTTGTGTGAAAACTTTTCCAACTTCTTAAAATTTTAGTACACTTTTTTCGTCTGGTAAGCACATTAACAGCTTTTTCCACAATATCATAAACTTGAGTACATACGTTTGTACTAACTTTTTCATTAAGCTTAGCAAGGATTCTTGTGTAGCACACAATTTTAGTACTTTAATTTTTTAAATTTTTAGTACATGTATTTTAATACACATTTAGAGCAGACACTAATTTTAGTCAAGTTTGCTTTTCTTGTATTGCTTGTTGCAACACATGTTTTGAGCATTAAAAGCTTAGATTAAATATTTTTATTTTTAGTAAAAATTGTATATCATTCAAATTAATTAATTTTTTCGATTTCCAATAATTAATTTCGGTTCATCTTAAAAAACCAAAATTTTTATTGAAAACTATGCTTAAATACTTTAGTATATTTAGTGCATTTACATATATAACTTATGTTCATTTACTTTTCGTTTCTTGTATTTTTAGTACACTCTTAGTGCAACATTTTCAAAACCATCGGCAATTAAAGAAGCAACCAGCGAAAAAACTAACTCGAAAGAGTTCCCTCATTAAGCCTACTTTCAAGATGTACTAAATAACCAAATCGAAAAAAATGGTTTTTTAATCAACTAAAAAAACATTTTTGAAGCTTAGTTAGTAGTCAACACTTAGCTTTAAAGCAAACTAAATATTTTTTATGCAAAGTATTTAGCACACGCACACGTAATTTTTTCAATTAATTCAACATTTTTTAAAACAAAAAATTATACTCGAATAGTGATGAAAAATAATACAGATCAAATGAATATTTAAAAAATACTCAATGTTAATCTTCCTTTAACGTCCACTCCTTCTCCAGGCATCGACATGATGATGGGCGGCGTTGGCGTTGGCGTCGGAGTCGGTGTCGGTGTCGGTGTTGGCTCCGCAGTCTCCTCCTCCGCCTCCGTATCGAGTAATATTAGCAACAGCAGCAACAACAACGCTTCGGTAGTTAGTTCCACAGCAGCGCTGGGCAATGTCTCGTCTTCGGTAGCCGGTCCAGCCACACTGCCCGACAGTCTGCATGGCAATAATAGCAACAATGGCAGTAGTGGCAATAGCACAGCGAATAACAACAGCAACAACAACGTGCCCTCAACAAATGGTGGCGTTGGCGTTGGCGGTGGCGGTGGCGGTGGCGGTGGCAGTGCTGGCAATGGCAACGTCGGTGTTGGCGAAGACTTGAATACGCTCGAAGCGGAAATATCGGAGCTGCAAAGAGAGAATGCACGCGTCGAATCGCAAATGATGCGTCTCAAATCCGACATAAATGCCATGGAATCACAGTTGAACACCAGCGATAGGGTACGTAGGCTCAGGTTCGTTGAGGCAAACAAATATAAGTAACTAAATAAGTATGTACACATGTTTTTATTGTTATTATTGTTGTAGACGAAAATTACGGTCTTGAGTTAGTTTAGGAGAATAGCATAAAACTTTAGCAGTGGAGTGCTTTAGTGGGCAAAATATGTAGGCATAAAACTCTCGACCCCTTTGAGTTCTTGAACTTTACTCTTCACCCCAAAAGTTCACTCCAAATATTACTTCCTTGTCTCTAGAAATATATAACCAACTTAAATACATATATACATATGTACCTTTGTATTTGTAGCAGTATTGTTTAAAATTTGTTTGCCTGTATTAGTGAATTTGTGTATAATTTTGTTTATAAACTTCTTATTACAGTTTTCAAGGACGTCGCCGAAATTCCAAAAACCAAAAATAAACTTACTAACTACCCTAACTCAATTCAACAGCAAAAAAGACATAAAAATTTAGCAGACAACCGAACAGACAGCGCGCGATAGAGATAGGTAGCAAATATTATTAAAAGCAAATAAAAAATATGGCGTTCTCTTCGTTGGCGGCGGCGGCGGCGTTGGCGTCAGCTAGCAAAAGGCGCAACACCTTTCACGCCAAAACTCAAAACTTGGAGTTTTCTAACTTTTGCTCAGCAACTGCTAACTTTTGCTTTTGCCTAGAAAACGACGTCAGCTGCGGCGCCAGCGTCATACCCAACACACACCGTCGGCGTTTAACCCAAACACCAAACATAAAGTTCTAATTTTTTCTTACTTACTTACAACTTTTGTTATTTAAATTATTAGCAAAGTACAAAAGCATATGCTCGAATTCAAACTCAAACTTAATAGACACACAAGAGCAGTAAGACAGACGGACGTGCGGACAGACACACAGACAAATGGCAGCAACAGTCAGTCTGAAAATTGTTAGGAAATTCCAACGCTGCTGCCTCAACTTGGCAATGGCTCATATTTTCACTTAGTTCCGCTACCGTAGCCCCTACCCCTTCACCCTCTGCCGTTCCCGCTCCACCGCTCCCGCTCTTTAACTTTAGTACTTTCTACTTAACTTAACTTTTGTGCTTTTATCAAAGTTTATCAATTAATTTTTATGAAAAGTTCTTGCACTTTTCTCCAAACTTCCTCGACACGTTGTGCGCCGCCGTGGCATCTCGCTTCGCAAACACTTTCACACGCTTTCAGTCGCGCGCTAAATCGCTGCGGTTAGTGTACTTGTACTTGTACCGCTGCTGTTGGCGTTCACGTTGACGTCGACGCTGAGCGTTGAGCGTTGACTTTGTGTCTGCGCCAGTTTGCTTTGCAAAATTTGGAGCAGAAAGTTTATAGTCTAACAACTAAAGTTTTGCATTTGTCATCGCACTAAAGTTTTGGCGTAAAGTTATTAATAACTTAAGTCAAAGTCCCACTTCTGGGTCGAATTGTTTTAGAAAGTATTGAATTTTACTTGCACGCCATTTTGATGTACTTAAATTTGATCATCGAAAATATACTTACAAATACTTTAAACCTTTCATGCAATTTTTAAATTTAGCTAAGCGCCCTTTGAGCGCAGTACATTTTCAAGACAGGGGATTTTTTTTGTATGTGTGTAATGTAATTGTAGACTTTAGGTTTTCTGATCCAGCTACTCTTCGAAATTAAAATTTACACGAAAGGACAATGACGCAGTTCAAATTTAGTTGCCTCGGAATTAATTAGAAAACGTTCTAATACTACATCAAAAGATATTTTTGGAAAATTCCTGCCACAAAAGCGTTTATTTAGAAACGCTTCTCATTTTGCTGACTGGCGAGCTTTGAGCTTCCGACCACTGCTTTGAATATATGAAAATAAAAAAATGTTTCAATTACAAATTTTATTTGAACTTGCCACCCCAAAAAAAGTTTTTACATGTGCTCTTATGTTTATTTAAGAAGTGGGTCTTCAACTCACTAAATTTCAAGGAATTGTATAATTTTTTCCACAAAATTTTTTTTTTTTATTTTTTTAAATATATGTGCTAAACAATAATTTTAACAATGTTTGATAAATGTTTAAAATTTTGGTAAAATATATTTTAAATAAATTATTTTTTAACAAAATCCTTAAAAATCGATTTTTTAACACTTTTTCTCAAAGAAAATATTGCTACTAAATTAAATTAAATACATAATATATTTTAAGGATTTTAGGAAAATAATATTTTTAGAAAAAAATATATTTACAATAAGATTTTAGAAAGATTTAAAAAAAATATTTCTAGGACAAAAATATTTTTTTCTTATTATTTCCTAAAATATTTTTGTAAATACATAGTAAAGTTTTCTCCTAAAAAATTATTTATTCCTGAAATCCTTCAAAAGTATTGTTGTGTATTAAAACTAGTAAAACGAAAATGATAATTTTTTTTCTAATAAATCTATCTTTTCGCAAAAAAAAAAATTTGCCCAAACAGGTAATCTTGCCACAAAAAAAAATTGTAAAATAATCTTTTCCAAAAAATTTATTTATTTATATTTTCGCCATATTTTTTTTTTTAACTTCATTGAGAATCATTTTTCTCTAGAAAATTCTTGGGGCACATTGCATACAATATGATAATGATTGGAGTAACTTTTTGGAACAAGGCCAAGGTCCTGAAAGGGTTAATGTCTTTGTATAGAACAAAACCCTGTTCGGAAGTCTATTCTAAAGGCTTTTTATAATTCAAGAAAACATCGCTGCTTACGACTTTTGTCGACGAAAGAAAATAGATACTGCCAATCATCAAACCAAAAAAAAAAAAAATCATCCGTCATCATCAACAGTTACTACTAAATTTTGGTATAGTTAATAGAGTGCGTGCTGCAAAAATGTTTTTAATTTAATTGTTTTCCCAACAGCTCGCCTTCAGAGTCCTGCAAACGGGAGTAAATTTTTGCATTTTTTGCAGTCGAAAATGCACCCGCTTGTATTCTTTCTCTGTTATAGCTTAAAAGGTCCTTTAAGCTCTTTAAAAGTTGTTGAGTAAAATTTAATCAAATTTTCCATATGCACGAAAACGCTCCCTTTACTGTGCCCATTCAAGTGACGCAATTTTTAAAGATTTTTTTTAACAGCGATTGGTTTTCAATTTTTATTTTAAATAAAAAAGACCAGCAGAAAATAAAATTTCCTTCGAATATAACAGAAATTGTGTTGCTTTTGATGAATTAAATTGAAACCCAATTTTGTTAGCCGACATTTTATCAATGCTGAGCTGATTTTGTATACCTACCCAAAAAATAACTTAGAAAATTTTCTCAAAAAAAAATTTCTTGCCATCATTGACTAGAAATTTAGCATCTAATGGCAAATAGTCCTCCTTTTACCGTTCACTAAACAACCAATGAAAATACAATTTCAATTACAGCAAAAACACAAACTTTTCGTGTTGCAATCACTGGGATAGAGACAAACTCACGCACAAATATCTTTTATGTAGACATATTTAGTAAATGAGGTAAACAAATTTCTTAAATGCAATGATGATGAATTGCAATGGCAACGCATACACACACGTACATACACTCGCAAGTAGAGCGGCAATCAGCCGAGAAGCCCCATCTAGATAAATTACAAAATGGCGTTACGATGACAGCAAACAATGACTGCTAAGTGGATAGCAGCAGCAGCAGCAGCAGCAGCAACAACGCTGCAACCAATGAGTGAGCTTTAATGCAATTTGGATGCATTTCAATGCAAGGGCTGTTGCTGTTGTGTGAAGGACCTTCCAACGACTGAGGCAACATCCCTCACCTACATGCATATATACATACATACATATATAAGTAAAGTGAGAGCAGCGTTGCAAATCCCTAAAGGTGGCGCGTACATGCGCGTAAAGTGTTGCACTGGAATTGCTGTTTGCTAGCAGACCCTATTCCCAGTGGTCACCTACACATATATATATGTACATATGTATGTAAGTATATGTACGTGTATACATAAGCCCCACCTGCTTTCGAAATCGTACGGAGGCGTTGTTGTTGTGCCTAGTACTCAGATTGTAGTTGTAGTCATCTGTCCCTTTTCACTCGTAAACAAATCAACAAATCGCGTTTCATTTCGATTCGCTCCTATTCAGTCGCCCTTATAATGGCAAGCCAACACCACCCCCACCTCTAACTCACGCTCGTTCCTTTGCGTACATATGTATGTATGTATGTGTATGTTATATTCATACACATGCACTCAACCCAAATGGGGAGTCACATGAGAATTATTTGGCTTGTGTGTAACCTTTTGGCCTCCCAAGAGACATTCACCGTTACTACACTTAAATGTATGTATGTATATATGTATACGTGTGTTGGTAGGGAGAAAAAAAATGCCAACAACAAAGGAGGCGCCATATGATTGTAGTGCGCTGGCGCTTAGCCAACGACAGCACAGCATTTTCCAGTGGCTGCTCGGTGTGTATCCAAGAGCGCCACACCACCATTACTACCATCGCCGCTCACGCACACTGACTTTGTCAGTTGGAGCCACCACCACCAATGCGAACATAACAGCCATCTAGCTCCCCACTTGCATCCAAGAAGAGGGCGTCGCAGAACTACATTTTTTTCTTGTTTTCGTCCATAATGCCACTTGACTATTCAGGTGGTGCGTGTGTATGTGTGTGTTACTTGTACACACACACACATACCCGTCGGTGTTTTTCTTTTTATTTTCCTTTTTTTGGACTTTGCTTTTTCTTTTTCTCAACGTCAGTTTTTATGATTTCTTTTGCTTTTTTTCGCGCTTGAAATTCTAAGTGTGCTATTTCGCTCGCACTGCACTGTTTGATATCCTGGCAAAAAAATGTCTACCCTATTCGTTATTGTAGACATTCGTACTTTTTATTGTATTTTGTTGTTTTGCCCATAAGCCCGTTTTCTTTTTTTGCTGGTCGCTATCTCACCGCTGGGTGGTATATGAAGTTTTCTATTTGGTTCTGTGGTAGGTGCCACACTTTTCTTGAAGGGTCGTTATTACGCATCAACGAACCGAACGAAATTGAATTGAAATAAATTCAATTAGTTGATATTATTAAATGATGTGGAAGTATAATGACAGCGAAGAATATGAAGTCCCCTAATTAATGCGGATTATTCCGTTTTATTCGTTTTGTATAGAATGTCATAACCGAATAGGGTCAAATGGTGGGGATCAAAAGGTGGCGTTATGATTTGTATCCTAGTCTATTTTTCTAATTTAAGTAAATTCATTTTAAATTTGTATACTATTATTATTAAATATGTGAGCAAATGTGTTTTTAGTCGAAAATGGTGGCACACTTATCTTAGAAAATGCATTATCTTCAGTTTTGTGTAAAGAACAAGATTCCATCGCAAAATTGTATTTAAATGAAAACTTAAAAAAGATATGCTAAAAAAGTAAAAATAACTACTTACGCTCATATAGTCGCAGCTGTGTATGTAACTCATATGCCCCGTAGTCACCTTGTTTACTCAATGTATTTTTTTTTTTTCATTTGGAGGCATATTTACTAGTTTTATTACACTGGATTTGTTTGTTTTAGCAGGAAGAATATTTTCACCGGTTAATTTTAGTATTTGAAGTATCTATCTTATTTTAAACATAAAAAAATCGTAAAATGTTACATAATATCTGCGACAGATATTCTACATGCTGTCATTTTCTTTAATTTGGTGGCACACTATTAAAACTTTACAGATATGTTGTATTTGAGGCCAACTTTCATTGCCTCTAATATGAACATTCTGTTTGGAAACTTCCCAAAGTTATTTAAAAAAAGGATTATGCTTTTTTCAAGTGACAATGAAAAATTAAGTAATTTCGTTACTCTTTCGCCTAAACAAACGTTTTAAGGCTAAAATTGTTCAAATACTTGATTTATTTTTTGTTGTACTAGTTTCTGGAACTCCATTTTTCCAAACTTTTAGTAGATTTTTTTTAGTACCAATATTTTTGTTTTTACGGACGATCTTTTTTTCCTGGGATATTTTTCTTCTGCAATCACTTTCAGAAGGGTCCTTCATGTCGAGAACGGCTGGTAACAGATTATCGTTTAGGTAATTTTTCTCTGTGTACATAAATCTGGCTGGTGACCGGTTGTTAATTAAACAAGGTACACTAATCCCTAAAGAGAGTATCTAGCGCCAAATGCCCAAGATATATATTTAAAAAATCCTAAAATTACCTTGGTAAGCGAATTCCTAATTACAAAGGATTCGACTGAAGATGATTTAAATTGCTTTAATCTGTGTCTGGACAAGGCCGCGCATTCAGAAAAATGCATTGAAGTTTTTTTCGTCTTTAAGTAGAGTTGGCACACATTTTTCGTCCCAAATAAGAAGAAGAATACTCTGAGGAAAAGAATAAGTAATTCACGCCTTTTATAATATTTCGATGGTAACCGGGGTTTAGTTTAGAAATTACCTAAAACGCTAGGTATTCAGAACCACTTAAATATTTAAGATAAGATATACAAATGTATGCATAGGCAAACAGTAAAATCGTCGGCTAATGATTCCTAGCAAGAGACCTCCCATCGATTATTGTTATATAATATTTTGTAGGGCCCTCTCTGCTTGCGTATTTAAGCATAGTTTAATGATAACCTCACTAAATAAATTTATTAATAGTTTAATCTTCTCTTTCTCTCTCTTTCTTTATTTTATTCTCTTTCTCGCTCCTCTTAACAGGAGGCTTCTCCGCTGAGTACTCATCAACAGCGTAATCTCTCTGCGGTGACTATCAATGCTGGAGGAGCAACAGCTCTTGGTAGCGTCTCCTCCAGCGCCTCAACCGCGTCCCCGCTCAGCAACCACATTGGCAGCGGCAACTGCAACGGCAACGTCAACGGCAACGTCAACGGTAACGGCAACAACAGCAGCAGCGCCAACGGCAACAATAACATCAACATCGGTGGCAGCAGCGCCGGAGTCAACAACAACCCCCTCACCAGCGGCAATCTCTCGCACACCCTCCCCAGCAGTCACACCATAGGCCCCATAGGCAACCACAGTGGCAGCTACTTAACACCACCACCCAGTGTCAGCATCAGCACCACCGCTTCTTCAACCAGCAACGGCGGTGCACCCACATCCAGTTCCTATTACGAAAGTTTGCGTAATAATGTAATTACTTTACTCGAGCATGTGCGTCTGCCACCACCCGGCGGCAATAGCGGCGCAAGCATGAGCTCGAGTCCGTTAGGCGCTGGCAATGGCGGCAATAATGTAAGTAGCACCAGCATAGGCGGTCATCCCTCCGATACCATTGGCAATAGTTTGTCTGCAAATATTGCTGGCTTACCCGCCACCGCAGAAGTTTTGAGTAATCAACAATTGACCAGCGCTTATGGTGCGCCACATCCACCACATCCCACGCTGATACCACCCAGTCCGCTACCCACCGCATCCATTGCGCCAACGAATATGGTTAGTGGTGCTGTATCGATGTATGCAGCGCCACCACATCACTTGACTGGCACACATCATGGCATGCTAGGACCACCACCACCGCCACCACCACCACCACCTCATGGTGGTTCAATGCCGCCACATCATCCCTATACGGTGCATCATCCAGCTGGATATGCGCACCATGAACCCTTCGACTCATACATATCGAAATTACAATCTCTCTGTGTGCCACCCGATGTTTACGCGCTACCCGACGATGGCACACGGCCGCTCTACGATGCGGTCAAACCTAGTTTGCATCAAGATTATACATTAATGCCGACACCGATATAAGCGTGGGTGAGAAGAGGGGGTGAATGGGGGGAGAGAGATTACTGGGTTTAACGCCAACTAAGAGAGAACTATTGAAAACTATAGTACTAACTACGCTGTAAATATAAACAAATAGTATTTAAGCAGATATTTATAGAGAAGACTCAAACTCGGACCACGACGCAGAACAAATTTATGTGACACTCTCATTAAATCCATGTTGAGAGTGAACAGCAGTTGAAGAAGGAATAATTTTGACCGCACACACAATTAGACACAATTGTTTTCCCGTAACCCGTTTAAAGAATTTTAAGAAACAGTTAAGCCACTCTCTCATTTTTCGATGACCTTGGTAGCTTCGTCCGAGGCTTCTTTAATGAGCTCCATACTCAATGCTTTATTTATGTGACGCAAATGATGTAGAAACACTCCACAACTGAGAAATGATGCACAGCGTCTTAAGTTCCCAAGGATGGAGCTAGCAACAGGCATACATAACTCCGGCGCCACTCCCGGCTGCTGAGCTCGCGCAGTTGTAAGTGAGAAGACTTTGGGGCACCCTGTATATCAGGGTCAGATGAGTTGTCTGTCGTAGCGTGACATGAATCGGCCATCAATATCACGTGGTTTTCTGAAGACCCAGCATATGACAATAAGAAACAATCTACCGGATGCAGCGGGATCTAAATACGTGAGAGAGTCATTGAAAATTTAACCACTCGAATACGTGTCGCCGTGCGAAACCATGGCATATATTTAAACGATCTTAAGTAGTATACTTGGCCCTTTCTTTTTGCTAGTTGTTCTTTCCGACAGGGTTGGTCTTCAAACCAAATTTTACAGGCCTTTTTATGTAAGCCTAGGTTAGGATGGCGTATATGGAATGCTCCGTACTTTCACACAGGAAGAGACATAGCCTCTTACATACAAAAATCGTTTCGTTAACACCTCACACACAGCTTGATTTAAAGAGAACTTTTCCTAGAGGGTTATAACTAAATTCTACAGAAATCGTGCATAAGGCCCAAATATTCCCAGATAGGAATCCGTGACAGTCGCGATTATTGACCACTTATCCATCGAGAGTAGTCAAGTTTCGACAATAAATACAGTATATTTTGCTTTGCTGCCTCTATGCTTAAGTGCACATTTAAGATATCTACCCCAAAATGCGCATCAGAGGCATTATTTTTAACATTTATAAGGAAACTGCTCCGATAGAGGCATTTAGCATACCTGCACATTGGCGATACCTGCCTTAAAAATTGTGCGACTAGTATCAATTATCAAAGAAAGTATTACGTTTACCTGCACTGGCCCTATAATTGCCTAATTTTACAACTTTTTATTTATTTTGTTCATCTCGCAAAACAATGAAAATGGCTATAAATTTATGTAGTTATATAGATAATTAGATACTATTCGGTAAAAATTTCGCTTGCAGTAATTTTTACGTGGTAAGTGCTTCTCCATTATGTGGTTTCATAGGGATTTGGATACCTTCCTCATTGAAGTAGTAAAGAAAATTCGCTTAAGTGCCTTTTTCGGTTAAGTGCACAAGTTTTTCGTGCAAAGAAGGATGTGCAGCTAAGCAAAATATACTGTATATCAAATACAAAAATATATGACTGAAAAAATATCGGAAATTCTTCGTAAGCAGCCACTGGCCATATCTGCATTTACATCAGTCACAACTAGGACTTATTCCGCAAGGGAAGCTTTTCGAAGCTTTCTGTAGATTTTATATGAGCGTGTACCTGGTAAAAGCTCTCTCTGGTCATATTTTATGTATATCTATGTACATTTGCGAAGTTCGAAGTGTACAATAAGCAAAAAATAATAATTTTTGTAAGTCCTAACAGGCAGAATGAGCTTTTAAACTGTGGACGCCAACACAAAATGTATAGAAAGCTTAAAAATACTTTGCACACGGGCAAGACGACTTTTTTCACAGATGAAGATGCAAAATTTCTGCTTCAAGCTTCATCGAAAGTTTATTTGTAATAGGTGAAAGCTAATTTAATGCAAAGCAAATTTCGGTAAAAGCTTTCCTTTTCAGAGTCAGTATGAATAGAGAGATCAAGCTCTCAGGCTGTCGTGTCTATAAAAAATTATGGAAAGCTTAAAAAAGCGCTGCACGCGAGTAAGGCCATGCCCTTCACCGGAGCTTAGTATAAGTTACTAGTCCAATACTTATGTATATATGTACATTTAAGTATATAGTATATATAGTAGAGTGGTCCTCAAAATGTACACATTAATATATAGTATGTTTAGTAGGGTGGTCCCAAAATATCACCATCATGTAGCATCCCTTTATTTTGTTCCACATACAAAATAAAGACATACGGGAAAATTTTATAATTAACAAAAGTTAAGCCGTGAAATTCAACAAGTTTTTTACTTTGACCAGCAATAACCCAGCGAGTTTATGAAAACTTTTCAATTAAAATTTTGTCAAAGTTTTGCGATTTTTCAAAAAAAAAATTAAAATTTTCGAGATTGTCTTTATATTGTACGTACAAAAAAAAACTAAAGGGGTGCTCCAAACAAAATTTTAATGTTGATCTTTTTTAAGGCACACCCTAATGTACAGTATTAGTTTGTAACAACATTAACTTAATAAACGAAGTATGAAAAATATTACTTTTAGTAAAAAGACAGGTATTAAGCATTAGCCTTATAAAAATTTATTTAGTTTCTAAATAAAAAAAAATACTAACATACTTAGATACATATAACGAAGTATTGACGTACTCATTAGAAGTCATTAGTTGATATGAATGTATTATCGAAGCAAACTTGTAAATTTACATGTACATACATGCATAATTAGATCCGATTTTTCCTGGGTCGGATGCAAAAATTTAGATTTTTGTAAAAATTGGATTTACCAATATCAAATAGGCATTCTAAAATGCTAAGCTGAAAATCGTATACGAGTCAGACGACATGACGAAGAACGTCCGATAGAAATGCCTAGTGGAAATTCGGAAAGAGACACACCCTCGGATAATTTCTGTATTAGTCAAACCACTTGGATTCGTATTCCACCAAGAAAGCGTTCAATGTTCTCCCGCTCGTAGCAACAATTGTAAATAATCTCTTTGTGTATAACGTATTTAATTTCACTGCTAAATTTAAGCTGTTAAATGCGAACTTTAGAACTAAATGAGAAAATTCGTGAATTGTTGAAGAGCGCTAAATTAGAGCCCTCACGCCGGTATTGATGTGCAGTTCCGCAAGACAGCGAAGTATGTACAGATTTATTAGTGAAAGTAATTAATGTATGTAGTTTGCTAAATTTAATTACATACATATGTATGTATGTATGTACTTATGTATTAAAGCGTAAACATTAGTAATAAGCCATTCTGTGTATGTAAGCTGATATGTAGTTGTTTTATAACCACTAATATTACAAATATATCTCGCTTTTTACTTTATATAATTTTTGTATAAAAGTATTAAAATAGGAAATGTGATTCATTTTTTTTTTGTAATTTAAAGTACAATTTGTTTAAATATTTTGTTTAAGTTTGAATAAACTGTTGTAGATCAATATTTTAGTAAGTATATAAAATTAAGAAAGCAAGCAAAACTGTTACTCTAGTATATAGTACAGCACATATATATAAATCAAGAATTGAGCTGATATAAGTAATAATAATAATGGCGAATTTCCACTAGGCATTGATATGTCAAAAAATATTTATGTGCCAATGTTGTTTTTATTTACCTAGTGAAACGGTGCTTTTTTAATGCCCAACCTTGTCACAATTTTTATTTTTTTTTTGTCATTTAATGCCCAGTAGAAATTCGGTATAATGCTGAATTTTTACTAGGCATTAAATGACAACATTTTTTATGATTATATTGGGTAATCAAAAATGGCCGTGTTCGTAAAAAAGTCATTATGTTTGTTTCCACACGGCATACATTTTTTGTCATCTCAATGCATAATGGAAACTTGACATAAGAATTTAAGCAAAAAAAAAATATTATGCCGGATTCCACTGTGCATTATGTGGCACAAATTTTGTAGACAAAAATGCTCGTTAAAAACAAATTCGTGTCATTACTCTTAGAATAATAGTCATTAAATCTGTTTGCACTTGGCTTTTTTTAATTGGCTTAAATTTTTGTCATTTCAATGCCTAGTGGAAATTTGGTATAAGTTGCATATATGTGTTACCATTTAATATAAAAATTGCATACATGTGTATACAGACATATATTTAGTCGTTGATTAACGATGTAAAAATAGTTCTTGAGTGTCATAATAAATATTAGACTACATTTAGTGAATAAAAAGAATGCAGATATCAAGAAAGTGCAATAAAGAGAGTAACTTATTTAGGATAAGCAAATCGCTAAAATACCGAAAATTTATAAAAAATTTATTATCAAGTAATAAATACAAATACGAGGCAAAAAATAAAAAAAAACGTAAAATTAAATCCGAAACCAATTCAGTATAAGTATACGTAAATATGTATGTAGAAAGAAAAGTTAAAAAATACCATAATTTAAAAAAAATTAAATTAAATAGACACTTTAATTTAAATATTTGAAAAATACCCAAAAACAGTGCTGAAATTTTTAACTTAAATCTTACAATCAAAACAGAAAAATAATTATTAAGAATGATTACAGCAAAGATTATAATAAAAATGCACAACAACTTCGTTTTCGCGTATTGTACTTGTATGTACATATGTATCACATCAAAATAACTATAGTATTATTAGCTGTAAGAAAAGAAAAAAAATTTAGTAAAAGACAAAAACATTAATCGCGTATATTAACTATTTCAATAAGCCAAAGCGAAAATAAAAATGAATTGTAATTGTAAAAATAACTCAATGTTAAAACTAATTTAGTAAATAAATAAATTTCAATAAAATTAACTAATTCTTAATCGTTTTTTTTTTTTAATAAATATCAAAATCCTACTAATCTCGGGGCGGTTTGAGTGCCTCGTTAGTATGTTTGTTGGTCCTTAGCGCTGATCTTTCTTTAAAGAGTTGCCACCCTTTCTTATGATAAATTCAAATAATTAATAGGTTATATAAAATATAGTACAACAATGTCGGAGTCAAACCATAGAGGGTCAAAAATGATTTATTTCGCAAATATTTTCGAAAAGGGTTGCCACCTGTTGAAAAAGTAAAAATCAATTTGGACAAGTATCTGGACTTCTTTTGGCAGTATAAGTAATACTTTGTTTTGGATTCCAAAAATGCATACTGCGTTTTTTTTACAAAATACAGCATCAGTTTTGACTTTTTTCTTTTCGTGTCTTTAATGTTTATTAATTTTTTATCAAAGTCTAATTAATTATATGACACTTAACATCATATAAATCCACATTTCATACATTCGAGAGTAAGTAAAAAAAATGTACAGCAACAAAGTATGTATTCACAATTTTTAGAAAAAATCCAAGTATGCACAGTACAACTCAACAAACATCTATTTATGTATATATCTAAGGGTGGCTACATGTAAATTTTTAGGTTAGATTGGAATAGTGTGGTGGAAAACTTAAAGAACCAAGCAGCAACTAAGTAAGTAAGTGCGGGGTGTTCAATGAAATTGAATTTGTTTTGA